TTCTCTCTGTAGCAGGTCTGGAGTCCTAGTTGCTTTCTCTCTGTAGTAGGTCTGGAGTCCTAGTTGTTTTCTCTCTGTAGTAGGTCTGGAGTCCTAGTTGTTTTCTCTCTGTAGTAGGTCTGGAGTCCTTGTTGTTTTCTCTCTGTAGTAGGTCTGGAGTCCTAGTTGTTTTCTCTCTGCAATAGGTCTGGAGTCCTAGTTGTTTTCTCTCTGTAGTAGGTCTGGAGTCCTAGTTGTTTTCTCTCTGTAGTAGGTCTGGAGTCCTAGTTGTTTTCTCTCTGTAGTAGGTCTGGAGTCCTTGTTGTTTTCTCTCTGTAGTAGGTCTGGAGTCCTTGTTGTTTTCTCTCTAGTAGGTCTGGAGTCCTTGTTGTTTTCTCTCTGTAGTGGAGTCCTAGTTGTTTTCTCTCTGTAGTAGGTCTGGAGTCCTAGTTGTTTTCTCTCTGTAGTAGGTCTGGGGTCCTGGTAGTTTTCTCTCTGTAGTAGGTCTGGAGTCCTTGTTGTTTTCTCTCTGTAGTAGGTCTGGAGTTTTCTCTCCTTGTTGTTTTCTCTCTGTAGTAGGTCTGGAGTCCTAGTTGTTTTCTCTCTGTAGTAGGTCTGGAGGAGTTTTCTCTCTCCTAGTTGTTTTCTCTCTGTAGTAGGTCTGGAGTCCTAGTTGTTTTCTCTCTGTAGTAGGTCTGGAGTCCTAGTTGTTTTCTCTCTGTAGTAGGTCTGGAGGATTAGTTGTTTTCTCTCTGTAGTAGGTCTGGAGTCCTAGTTGTTTTCTCTCTGTAGTAGGTCTGGAGTCCTAGTTGTTTTCTCTCTGTAGTAGGTCTGGAGGCTTAGTTGTTTTCTCTCTGTAGTAGGTCTGGAGTCCTAGTTGTTTTCTCTCTGTAGTAGGTCTGGAGTCCTAGTTGTTTTCTCTCTGTAGTAGGTCTGGAGTCCTAGTTGTTTTCTCTCTGTAGTAGGTCTGGAGTCCTAGTTGTTTTCTCTCTGTAGTAGGTCTGGAGTCCTAGTTGTTTTCTCTCTGTAGTAGGTCTGGAGTCCTAGTTGTTTTCTCTCTGTAGTAGGTCTGGAGTCCTAGTTGTTTTCTCTCTGTAGTAGGTCTGGAGTCCTAGTTGTTTTCTCTCTGTAGTAGGTCTGGAGTCCTTGTTGTTTTCTCTCTGTAGTAGGTCTGTCCTAGTTGTTTTCTCTCTGTAGTAGGTCTGGAGTCCTAGTTGTTTTCTCTCTGTAGTAGGTCTGGAGTCCTAGTTGTTTTCTCTCTGTAGTAGGTCTGGAGTCCTAGTTGTTTTCTCTCTGTAGTAGGTCTGGGGTCCTAGTTGTTTTCTCTCTGTAGTAGGTCTGGAGTCCTTGTTGTTTTCTCTCTGTAGTAGGTCTGGAGTCCTAGTTGTTTTCTCTCTGTAGTAGGTCTGGAGTCCTAGTTGTTTTCTCTCTGTAGTAGGTCTGGAGTCCTAGTTGTTTTCTCTCTGTAGTAGGTCTGGAGTCCTAGTTGTTTTCTCTCTGTAGTAGGTCTGGAGGCCTAGTTGTTTTCTCTCTGTAGTAGGTCTGGAGGCCTAGTTGTTTTCTCTCTGTAGTAGGTCTGGAGTCCTAGTTGTTTTCTCTCTGTAGTAGGTCTGGAGTCCTAGTTGTTTTCTCTCTGTAGTAGGTCTGGAGTCCTAGTTGTTTTCTCTCTGTAGTAGGTCTGGAGTCCTAGTTGTTTTCTCTCTGTAGTAGGTTTTCTCTCTGGTAGGTCTGGAGTCCTAGTTGTTTTCTCTCTGTAGTAGGTCTGGAGGTTTTCTCCTAGTTGTTTTCTCTCTGTAGTAGGTCTGGAGGTCTGGAGCCTAGTTGTTTTCCTAGTTGTTTTCTCTCTGTAGTAGGTCTGGAGTCCTAGTTGTTTTCTCTTCTGTAGTAGGTCTGGAGTCCTAGTTGTTTTCTCTCTGTAGTAGGTCTGGAGTCCTAGTTGTTTTCTCTCTGTAGTAGGTCTGGGGTCCTAGTTGTTTTCTCTCTGTAGTAGGTCTGGAGGATTAGTTGTTTTCTCTCTGGAGGCCTAGTTGTTTTCTCTCTGTAGTAGGTCTGGAGTCCTAGTTGTTTTCTCTCTGTAGTATGTCTGGAGTCCTTGTTGTTTTCTCTCTGTAGTAGGTCTGGAGTCCTTGTTGTTTTCTCTCTGTAGTAGGTCTGGAGTCCTAGTTGTTTTCTCTCTGTAGTAGGTCTGGAGTCCTAGTTGTTTTCTCTCTGTAGTAGGTCTGGAGTCCTTGTTGTTTTCTCTCTGTAGTAGGTCTGAAGTCCTAGTTGTTTTCTCTCTGTAGTAGGTCTGGAGTCCTAGTTGTTTTCTCTCTGTAGTAGGTCTGGAGTCCTGGTAGTTTTCTCTGTGTAGTAGGTCTGGAGTCCTGGTTGTTTTCTCTCTGTAGTAGGTCTGGAGTCCTAGTTGTTTTCTCTCTGTAGTAGGTCTTTCTCGAAATGCACCATTTGAAGTGAAAGAAGCAACATCTGGCTGTTACTCTGGAGAAGACGGCTTTGGCGCATTCTGGGCAACAGACTTGAAGTCTAGGAAAAGTGTAGTCGTGTTGAGTAGCAGTTGTTGCTCCTCCATCACAGATTTCAGCTTCTCCAGGAGTCTGCTGTAGATGACTTCTGACTTCCCGGATAGAAGAGCGAATGCTGCAGGTACATCTGGTTGTTGGTCAAGGCATAAGTCGCGTATAGTTGCCTAAAAAGTCTAGGGCTTGTGTAGAACGCTACGTCCCGATTAAGTGTGTCAGCTGCTGCTAACGCTCTAAGGATACTGGTAGTGGTGAAGGCTAGGATGCGGAGGTTGTTTCTATCGTCATCAAATAGCATAAATTTGTCGCCGTTGTTGGTTTGATATGTGGTAATTACCGAAATTTAAGAATGAAATATATAAAACCATTTTTTTTTTGCGAAATCCTTGCTTAGTCGAAAATAACGATTTCGTAAACTAGCTAGATATATATTTAAGGTCAATTAACTACGATCATAATTGAAATAATAATTATCATAGCTCATACGTATATTAACTGGTCAGTGTGTAAATTATAAGAGTATGACGAATATGTATTGTAGTCATTTCTTGTTGCGTAATTTGTTGTCGATAAATACATTGGTTAACTATGATGATTAATGCACGACTATACTTGAATGCATTTTATGTAATATCGTTTGTAAAATTGTATGTTTTCAACGAGTTTTTGATGATGAAATAAGCACGATCGTTGAATGCATGCTTTGTTAAGTTCCTTTCTTAAAAATGTTATGTATCCAATAAGTTGTAAAATCTTATGGAACAAAATTGAACTGAAATTGAATTAGGTATTAGATGTTACTTCTGCAGCAATGTAATTAGCTTGGGTATTTACAAACTAATAAACTGACATTATTTTTGCCTACATGGTAGTTATTGATTTACATCTACCTATTCTGAGGTTACAACTGGCAAACATCGTGTATTATGGTCATGTTTATGAAGTAAAATGCAAAATCTCCACCGTCATCTGATACATTAATAGTTATATGGTCTTTGTTTTATCTATGGACGTTAATGATATTGTACAGAATGTGAGCAGGTGTTACTGTGTGATGTTTATTTCCTCTGAAGATCAGAAATAAATTGCAGCATGCATGATGAAAACAAACAATCAGCTGAAACAGCAATATATGTTCATAAAACATGGTATTTGTCATGAAAATATGGCAAAATAACATAAAATATCGCATTTTGGGAAAAAATGAAATTGTCGATGAAATAGTGATCACTACTTATTTTGATATACCAATAGTGATCACTAACTATTTTGATATATCATAAATAAGCCAAGAGTTTATTTTTTCATGTAATAAAGGTAAAAATGAACGTATTGCTGTCTTATCCACGTGGATTCATAGTTCAATTAATTAATTAGTGTCCTGTCCTAACTACTGATTCACTCCGACAGATACTTTCATGGCCAAGGATGAGTGTGTACTTGTCATCTAAGTGTTCACTATAAAATGTATTAGTGGTACATTCTGTCGTTACAAAACCTATTTGTTTACAAAATTTCATACAAGTTCCAAATATTCGATTCATATTGCATAAATTGTATTATTGTAATAATATTGAACAAATTGATAGAGTTTGCACATGTCGTAGTAGTGTTGATATTGGGGATGAGTATCATTTTATTTCAAAATATGGGCATTATAAAAAAATCAGAAAACCTTTTAGCAAAATGTATTATTATTTGAAACCTAGTGAAATGTACCCAACTCTCGGAAACAACTATAAAGATTTGTCGAATTTAGGAAAATATATTTGTATCAGTAACAAAAGGCAGGTAAAAACAGCTTAAGTAACATATACATACATATATACATTGGAATTAGTTGGAGGTAAGGAATGATTATCTACATTTTGTGATTTGTGTGTGTTATGAGCTATGTTTGTGTTTGTTGTGCTTGTACTTGCACTGTAAATATATGCACTGTACTGTAGCCCTGGGTTAGTGGGACCTCACAAAGATGAATAACGTGATGAATAGTACATTAAACAAACACGTTATGTAAGGACAGAAATGATTTTTATTTTTTAAAACAAAATCTAAGAAACTGTGAGAAGAAGTACCCCATCACTGACATGAGTACAAGACGAAAATTGCGCAACAAACAAATTATATAGAACAATAATGACTGACTTCAACTACACAAAATACATATGTGCAATAATCAAGAAGAAATTTAGCTTATTTCCGCCTAACCATTCATCTAAATACCGTATGCCTAAAGTCGTTTATATTATAATTGACGGTGCTGGTCATTTCACGATACGATTCATTGCCTCAATCATCATTGCTGGCCATCGTTCAGCTTCTTTGATTCTCAAACTGTTATGGTCGATTGACAAACCTCTGAGTCGTTTTATGGTGCTGGACAAGCTTCCTTAAAAAACCTGACTGTGCTCTATCATACCAGAAATCACTCACTGCGTTCTATCATGCAAGAAATCCCTCCCCACGCTCCATCATCCAAGAAATCCCTCCCCACGCTCCATCATGCAAGAAATGCCTCCCCACGCTCCATCATGCAAGAAATGCCTCCCCACGCTCCATCCTGCAAGAAATCCCTCCCCACGCTCCATCATACAAGAAATCACTCACTGCGCTCTATCATGCAAGAAATCCCTCCCCACGCGCCATCATACAAGAAATCCCTCCCCACGCTCCATCATGCAAGAAATGCCTCCCCCACGCTCCATCATACAAGAAATGCCTCCCCACGCTCCATCCTGCAAGAAATCCCTCCCCACGCTCCATCATACAAGAAATCACTCACTGCGCTCTATCATGCAAGAAATCCCTCCCCACGCTCCATCATGCAAGAAATGCCTCCCCACGCTCCATCATGCAAGAAATCCCTCCCCACGCTCCATCATGCAAGAAATGCCTCCCCACGCTCCATCATGCAAGAAATGCCTCCCCACGCTCCATCATGCAAGAAATGCCTCCCCACGCTCCATCATGCAAGAAATCCCTCCCCACAGTCCATCATGCAAGAAATCCCTCCCCACGCTCCATCATGCAAGAAATCCCTCTCCACGCTCCATCCTGCAAGAAATTCCTCCCCACGCTCCATCATGCAAGAAATCCCTCCCCACGCTCCATAATGCTAGAAATCCTCCCCACGCTCCATCATGCAAGAAATCCCTCCCCACGTTCCATCATGCAAGAAATGCCTCCCCACGCTCCATCATGCAAGAAATCTCTCCCCACGCTCCATCATGCAAGAAATCACTCACTGCGCTCTATCATGCAAGAAATCCCTCCCCACGCTCCATCATCCAAGAAATCCCTCCCCACGCTCCATCATACAAGAAATCACTCACTGCGCTCTATCATGCAAGAAATCCCTCCCCACGGTCTATCATACAAGAAATCCCTCACCACGCCCCATCATGCCAATTTTCCCCAACTGCGCTCCATTATGGCAATTCTCCTTCAACACGCTTCATTATGCCAGAATTCAACATCAGCACCACGCAACAACGCATAGAAAAAAATGACTAAAAATATGATTCCATACCGACATAGAGTGACAGACTAAATAAAGAGAAGACACTTCATGAACTGAATTACGTCACAGCATCAATCCTCACCAAGTCTTCAAACGTTCCTTCAATACAGACCATCAAGGCAATTTCCACATTATCCATATCACACTAGACGCGGCAAAATTAATCGTGAATATAACCTCCAAAATTATATATTATAAGAATTAGAATTTAGTAGAATCTAACTGTAATATTACTAAACCAACTACATTTTGTAATATGTAACAAATACATCAAAACATTACATGCAATCGAAAAGATCTTTAGACCTTTTAAAACACAACTTTATTTATTTATTCTACTTATTTAACGGGCAAAAAAACCTCTTTTATTACGATTCGACCTTTCAGCAAAGAGAAATCATAGGAAAGTGAGTAGTATGGCAAAAGTAATGATTGTGTGTAGATAGTGGAAGAACGGGTTTGGAAAAGATATGAAATCCAAGTGTTCCAAAGAAATAATGCTATACATGTATTTCAGAGGTCGACATAACACAGATCAAAGGTAAATAGCGTTGAGAATTTGGTATCATCTATATTTTCCAAGTCCGCCTGATCTCCTGATATTTACTCTATGTATATATTTTAGCATTCAGCTTAACTTGACCGATGTGAAGACATTAACAAGCTTACTCTTTATCGACATTTCACAGAGGGAATTTCATTGTGCAGAGATTTAAACATATTTTACCCCTATTATCTTGAAAGTTAGTCAAGGAAATTCATTTTAACAAATTTGGAAGTCCGTCATCCCAGCATACTAAAGGCCCAATAACAGTACCATGGACCTTTTGGTTATTGAGAAGAAGTTGTTGAAAGATGTAAACATATTTTACACCTGGGTTTTTAAAAGCGGTCCAGTGTCACTCATATTATCAAAGTTAGTAACCTTTCATCACATCATAATACATCAGCACCATGGTCTTCTTGGTTATTGAGAAAAAATCGTTTAAACATTTTAACATATCTGACCTTGAAAGTAGGTCAAAGTCATACATATTAACATACATGGTAGCCCTTTTGTCCCCTCATGCTACAGGCAAAATCTCAGTACCCCGTGCCTTCTGGTTATTGACAAGAAGTCATGTACGTCATGTAAACGGAAAGTTTACACAAGACGGACGGCGGACGTCGGACGACGCACTATGCACGACGAAACACGATCGCTATCGGTCATTCTGACTCTGACAAACCAGTGGCGACAACTGTTTTCCAAAGACTGGAGTCGATTGCCAGTATATAGAAATCAGAAAACGTAGCAACAAAATTACAAAGAGAAAACTAATTGGTTAGCTATTAGATATATAAACTGCGTATGGTCATGATTAATGAATTTAATGAAAGCAGCTATTGGCTGGAATAAACTAGTGAACAATGCAGCACTACAAAAGAATCATTCAACTCATCTCCCACATTCATATGATTACCTGCTGATACGTGCTGGTAAAGAAGGGCGGTTTCTTAGATGATAGTTCACTTCTGTTTGGAGACCTGTGTAAAGATGAATGAATTAGGTGGTGAAGAATGAATATGACTGATTTGCCGATGTTTTCCCAGATTTCGTTTTCGGCGTGAACATTCATAGTAAGTAAAATATTAATTAATTCTTGATGCGGTTCAGATTTAAATTTTCAATTATGCAAGTTCAGTGAATATAGTTAATTGTAAAACCATACATAAGCTTCAAGCTTGTTACCAAATCCTCTTTATTAAGTTTTGAAGTATATGTATATCTCAATGTTTACTATTGAATAAAATATTGTTTAAACTAATTGTAAAACCAATTAATTACATATGTTCATGCATGTACTTTGTTTTACTTCATACTCTTAAAAGTGATGTCGATCTTTTACAGTAAATGTTAGTCATAATTGGTATGAATCAGACATAGGTCTTCCATCCATTTGTCATATCATTCAAAGTTGGACTGATGTGTATGCTATTCCTATAATACTCCGTTGCTCTAATATTTGTCATTTTTGGGTATTATGTATATAATATATTGTCAGTATCACTATTTCAATATTATACGTATATTTATTCTTTTGACTGCTTTTCATCACGTTCAAGTATTTATTTGAATTGACAAATTCAAGTTATCTTGTGGAAAAAATCTTATATATGCGTGTGATGATACTTTACGTAAGACAATGAAATACCTCAATTACCTCGGAAGTGCAAAGACAATCCATCTTCATCATCTATTATTTTAAACAAGAACTGGTTGTGTAACAGCCTTCATGTTTAGTTCTTTTTTTAAAGATAAGATCTCAAACAAATCGTCTGAAAATAGATTGTATCGATAAATTATGACTCTAAAACTTATCTATGTATGACATGTTACTCAATATGAAAATTTACGAAATTTGCTGAAATATCTAGTGTTTGGTTTCGACCAATCTGATTTTTATAAATCGCCTTTAACAGCTGTGACACTTATACCATTGAAATTACTGAGCTGTATAATGCAGTTTAATTAATTGCTTGTATCTAATCTAAAGTTGTATTGAAAGGTGATATTCTCTTGTGAGTGTTTTCTACAATCCTCTGTTGTTTCTGTGTTTATAGGTATATAATTTAATACTACTTCGTTGAAATCCTTTTTTTATTTCAAAATGTATGGATAATTCTCTATTCAGTAGAAATTCTACAACAAATTGTACATTTGGTGAGATTTTCATCCGTTTATCATGTGGTATGTAGCTATAACAGTACTTATGTAAACATTTAACTTTCAATAATATAAATACCTTTGTTGACAATTATGGGGAAGTTTCTTCAGAGTGATCTCAATGAGAATCTTCTTTGTGCGATATTGCGATATGAAACTGGCTGTGATCGATGCTTATTTGAGACCATGGCGTTATTTACTTGAATTGACAAAGATTTAAATGGCGGATGTCATCGATGAAGCAGAAGAGGCTAACTCTTCCGGAAAATATTATTTTGATTTTTGATTTCCAAAGGAATGTTCATGTATTTTTTATGTTCATATTTTGCCTTAGTTTCATTGAATTGAAGTTTGGATTATGTTGATATGTTTGTAATTTCTTGTTTTTTTCGCTTATATTGATGTTGAAAAACATAAGTGTTATTCTATTTCTGAATGTCAAACTCCGTCATACAGCTGTTTCGACCATCTAGAATTCCTCATTTATGTTATAGGGACACATTAATTTTGTTATTGAATGTGCGTGTTTTATTAATATCCAGTTACGTTTCTATGACTATGCTATCCCAATATTCACAGTCGACTTCTAACATCTAGTTTGACCACTTTTTTCTTTATCTGGGAAAACTTTTCTCAAATGTTACGTTGCAAAAATATTACGTAATAGTTTTTAAATCGGGGCTATTAATTTTGTAAACACGAGCACATGATGGCGAGCAGAAATAACAGAGAATGTAGTGACAGTAAGTAAAATCACGTTTTTCAACACTGGGTTTTGTTATGGGTCATCTCAGAATTACTATATAAGTGAAATTAATCGCCAACATTGTCGAGACCGATTAAAGCGGGAAGTCATTTTTGTTTACAGGCGACGATGTAGTATGCGCATGCGTTATCAAATATGGCGTAAAAATTTACATATCCAGACTGTTGATCAACAGTAAAGAATGTCCGCGTTTATGTTTATAAATTAACATTTTGATGTGCAAATTTCAGCGATAACCAACTGTTAATTCTAGTCAGGTGATACACTTGACACATACATATGCAATGATATAAAGACTAAAAATCGCTGTGATATCGCTGTTAAACCTAGATATTACAGCGGGATAGGCTACAAATATGGCACCAATACAGTGTATAACAACACTGGACATAATTACACCACACAACATTTTGTAAACCACTCAAATATGCATTCCAAAGTTTAAGGATGAAATGTCTTTGAGTAAGGAGTTATTCTTTATATAAGTGTTTCGACAATTAAGGAACCCATGTAGTGTTGAAGCTTTCCAGACACACTTGAAACACGGATCGATATATACCTCATGTCCAATCCATCTTTGTATATCACATTAAATATTTATTATCTCCATATTTGTTATGGGTATGTTGGTAGGAATATCTGACAAAAAACATGCGTTTCAAATACAGAACTAGTCGAACTCGTCCTTCTTAGACTTTAAACAACATCGGACACAAAAATTCCGGAAGGTTTCTGTTGTACTTGAGATAAAATGGTTGCCAATAGTACTAAAGGGCATGTCTCCGACTTAAATATTTCATGGAGACAAATAACCGGTTAGAGAAGTACATAACAAGCTTTCATTACTTTCCCATTAATACAAATATTCATGAAGTAAGATACTTTGAACTTCTATTACCGGTACAACAGGACAAACAGGCGAATCACCAAAGATTCATTATCAATGTCAGGCGTTAATGTATGTATATATATAAGTGCGGTGAATCTTCATACCGCTAATTCGCATACCAAAATGCGGTACATAGATTATAACTGTATGCACTTCTTGTTTTTTCTATCAAAAGATATCGACTTTACACATATAATGATGAAATCCATGTGATCAATAGTGATGGAACAAGTAATATAACAATAACTTTTCGATCGATCACTCGCAAAGCTTATATTATAAAATAATTACTTGATGGCTTTTCGTAAAAAGATTTTTCACATCGAAATCAAGAACAACGTCGCCCGGAAGATTTGTAGTTATATGCTGACAAGAGAAGCCATCGAGCGCTTGACTGACATTGAGGAACAAAATCTGGTGTCTGATTGCAATATATAATGAATTCTTTCATGTTGTAACTTATTAATGATATTTAGAATTTATTCCGTTTTTAAAAAACCGTCATCTTGACCGTCCGTAAGAATCCGACCTAACCTGCTTTGTCTAATATATATCGTTTGTCTGGTTATGTTTTTTGTTTGAGCTGGAAACCGTTTTAAATGTAATGGTCTTAAAAAAGAGAGTGACCTTT